TGAATGCACGAGAATGCTGCAGGATGAGTGCTTGATCGATCGCCATGTGTACTAGTGCAGTTTTGCTCACACATATTAGTTACTCCCTCTTTCCCATAATATAAGTGTTTTTTACAATATACTTGTGTAAAAATCACTCTTATATGGAATGAAGGGAGTAGATGTCAAGTAAAATTATCTAGGAGATTATGTTCCAATTACCTGTCAGTACTGACCAAATCAGCCACGTATGTGTCAAATCTGAACCATGGTCTCTACTGTATTATGTGAACATTGAACATAAAAGAGCTAAACTTTGGTAAAATACAAATAGGCATTACACAATCTACTAATCATCACTTGAATACTCATTCTCACTCAATGCACCATCTTCCTGTCCATCATCGTCAGTACCACTATCTTCATCATAGTTGTTGTCATCCTTCAGAAGATCGTGAACAATACTAGCATGAACAGTTGGCTGCGGTGTTGCACATTCGGACAGTCCTTGCATGGCACAATATGTCCTGATTTTCGCTGAAATTTTGACGAACGAAACCCATAAAGTCTTCAACACCTTTCAAGTATGGTGGTGTGAAAGGCGTTCCTTGTATCCAGCTTTGATCCATTGCACTACAACAAAATAGTATACCGTTAGCAAATTATGGTAACACCGCATTGAAGCAAAATCTACTAGTAACACAACTAGTGAACCCACTAGTAAACTGAAACGACAAAACAGGCACAAATTTAAGCCTTTCAAGATTGATGAGAACATCTACTCAGGCAATGAATTTAGTAAAACAAAACCTCCTTCACATTGTCTTTCCTATGTACAGCATATATGCTTGGTTGGAAAAGGCCATGGACTTGTGCATGCCTTGTACAAACATATACTCCTTGTGTTTCTAAATATAAGTCTTTTTAGAGATGCCAATGTGGACTAAATACGGAGCAAAATGAGTGAAACTACATTCTAAACTAAGTCCATATTGAAATCTCTAAAAAGACTTATATTTAGAAACGGACGGAGTATACGCTCACTGTAACTGCAAAACCATGCATCTATCTATGCTATATACTTCCTCCGTCCCAAAATAAGTGTCTCAATCTTAGTACAACTTTGTACTAAAGTTAGTACAAAGTTAAGATGCTTATTTTGGGACGGAGGGACTACACCATAGTAACATTCCTATACACAATACGACAGCAGAAGTAACAGTTCAATCGTTCACACAATTTACCTTGGCAGGGTCGGCTGGATCGATGCTTTGGGAGTTGGGGCCAAGCTGGGAGCACTGGCAAGTCTAAACTCTGCACCTTGGTGAGGTGATGGATAGACTGCAAACTCTGAGCACAGTTGACGAGCAAATGTGATGCTTGTGGTGGAAGAGCGGAGGGAGAGGCGGAGGCGTGGCGTGGTAGCCGGTGCGATGCGGCGGTACTGTGCCGCCTCATATGATATGGTGGACGGGTGGATCCGCGTTGGGTGGTACAGGGGAGTGGAGGCACTTACATGAAATTAGCAATAGCCAGCCGGAACCAATCTGTGTTGTGCTTCGTCTATCACCGTCCTGCTTCTCCCCGCCGCGAAGTGCCACCAGCTAGAACCGAGAAGGCGATCAGATCGAGTCACATATGCCCCGAGAAGGAATAACCAACCTACAGATATAGTCACACACGACTAGGTGTATAGTCCAAGAAATGATAAAAATTCCTTAGCACAATTTATGTAGCGTCCGAACTCTTTACTAATGGCAACGCTGTTTGTGCTGAACATGGTGGTTACCGGTTCAAACTCCTGTACAGATTTTTTTTTTTTTTTGCATCGAATCTCCTGTTTTATTCTTAAGTTTTTAGATAGAACGAAACAACATAACCACACGAGCGCCCTATTCAAGTTTTGTTGCCCAGCCTTTTTATAGATAAGAATAAAAAAGGTAAGATTTCCCATCGACACTCCTATTATCCATTTTAATTTTTGAGATAGAGCGAAACAAGATTAGCTCACGAACGCCCAATTGAAGTTTTCAGCATAGCCACTACCGAACAAGAAAAAATGTGTTAAGAATTTATATTTTTAATGCTCGATTAAAGTTTTTAGTCGAGCCACTACCTATTTATATTAGAAAGAACAAAATAACCATCTAAAAAGAAGGAAAACAAGGTTTTCCTTTACAAGAATATATAATAGTTATAAGTATTTCCATGACCATTACCTACTTATATTAGATACAACAAAATAATTACAATGCTCAATAACCTTTGAAAAAAAATTGGCGGGTCCCACTGCCAAAACCGACGCATGGCTCCTACCTCTCAATAACCCGTGAACTAGCTATGGCGAGTCCCACTGCTAGACTCTACATGACAAAATAATTGATTGTCACACATTCGTAGTATTCGTTGACTCTAGTAAGTTCGTCACGCAAAATACCAAACCATCACAGAAATTGGCAGTCAGGTGTGCTATTATGGAATGGAGGGAGTACAAGTGAAGAGAGTTGTTTAGTATGTACATTTGCAATCTCCATTAATTTATGCATCCCATATTTGCTATTCAGAGTCAACATAACGTTGCTCAGCTCCCGCTGGTGCACGAAATTTTTTTTGAAGCAGTGATTTGTGGAAACCTTAACCGAATTGTAGTTTTTTTTAGCTACTTTACTCTTTAAAGGGATTGAAAATCGGTTTGGAAGTAATTATTCTCACTACGTGATGTGTTTTTATTTATTTTTAGAATATTGCTCCATCAGTTAAAGTTTGAAAGCAAAAGTCTAGACACAAGGTTGGCATGGTAATCCATAGGGCAAAAAGAAAATAGATAGATTTATTTATCTAGTTTTACAGTTGAAAACTAGAATTTGTTGACAGCAAATGATTAATCTGTAGGTAGCAAAGCTTGGCCTTGGCTGCAGTTTCTTCAGTTTACGGCTTCAGGCCGTTGACGGCAGCACGCAGTTGCCGATCTCTGGAAAGAGTGGAAGAAACAAACCCGTACGAAATCACCATTAACAAACCGAGGCGTACATTTTCTTTTCTTGAAACTAGACTCTGGAATTACGAGCAAAACTTACTTGGTGCCTGCCGGACAATGTTACCGGCGCCGGCGAAGTCGCACGTTCCGGTGGCCCGGCCACGCCGCTGGTAATAGTCGTTGAATGCGAAGGACGCATGCGCGGCCTTGGTGTCGGGGTCGAAGCACCGTGCTCCGGGTTGGATGTCCGTGCAGTCCGCGCCGCCGTGCCCGCACGCGTAATCAAGGGCCATCTGAAGCCGAGCCTCGCCCACCGCCGCGTTAGCCACGCACCAGCTCGGGCTCGGGTCGCACGCACCTGATGGTGCCTGGCTGACAATGGTGCCGGCGCCGCTGAAGTCGCAGGCGCTGCTGGCCCGGCCCTTCTTCTGGTAGTAGTCGTTGAAGGCGTATGACGCGTGCGCCAGCTTGGTGTCGGGCTCGAAGCAGGGCTTGCCTGGCTGGATGGCGCTGCAGTCCGCCCCGTTGTCGCACGCGTAGTCCAGCGCCTCCTGCAAGGCCGCATCCCCGACCGCCGCGTTCGCCACGCAATAGCTCGCACGCACGGGCCCGCCGATGGTGCCGCCATGAACGAAGTCGATCGGGTTCGGGTACACGGGCTGCTGGTTCGGGTAGAACAACCCAAAGTTCTGCTCGTCCGCCGGCTTGCTGTTCTCGTTGAAGAGTGCGAAGATGTACACGTTGAGATCGGTGTTGGGACGGTGCGGGGTGCCGCGGACGGCGCTGGCAGCCAGCGGGCTGTTTCCATTTACGGCGGGGGTACCCTGCAGCACCTGGCTGGTGAGACCAGCCATGAAATCTTGGGCGTTTTGTGGGGTTCCCACGTCATGATTTCCCTGGTTTGGCTGACTGCCCTCTGAAACTCGCGCTTCTGTGGTTATATCGGGCCCTGCTGTGAGCTTCCTCATCCCCCCGGCGCGAAGGCTGGAGGATGGCAACTTCTCCATTGCATAGTAGACTGCGTCAAGTTGGGCGTCAAAGAGGCTGAAGTACGTTTGCCCGCTGACGGTGTCATTCACGCCGGCGTTTGGGCGGAACAAGAGATAGTTGATGGAGATGCCCGGAGTACTCAGGTACGCGAGGTATGGGTAGAGGTTCACCGAGAGGTACGAACCGGTCTGTCGGAAAAAGTCGAGCATGGGACTCATCACTGACAGCGCGATGTCGTCCTTGAAGGCGCCGGCGGATGGCGGGAATGACGTCTGGAGTGCGTCAAACGCGATGGGCGTGCTCACCTTCACGGCGTCCGCCAGGCCCAGTTTCACCAGCGCCGCCTGCACCTTCTTCATGGCTGGGACGAGCTGAGAGTTTAGGTGACTAGCCTCTTTGAACACCTCGTTCCCGATCATCACCGCATTGATCAGCGTAGACGGGTAGTAGGCCTTCACGTTGCTCTGCACCCACTGGAGCGCGAAATTATTTTCGTCGGCCGCCGCAAGCGGCAGCTCCTCGTTGGTCAGCTCCACCGTCACCTTAATGCCGGTGTTGGCCAGCGAGCGCAGCACCGTGGGGTCGGTGTCGTAGATCCTCACCATGGTGATGTTGTTCTTCTTGAGCAGTTGCACCACGGACGCCGGATCCGGCAGGTCAGTCGCCACCCTCCCATAGCACACGCCCAACTCGCCCCCCTCTGCAGTTAATTAGTACGTGTACACCAACAAACATGGTCATTATCACGTATGAAACCTCGAAAACACAAATTTCATTTCATAACGCTCGGCTGCCCGGTTACCTGAAAGGGAGAAGAGCAGCGGTAATGCGGCACCGAGGAGGACGATGAGGAGGCGAGTCATCAGCGCGATCGATGCTAGTGTCTAAAGGTGGCGACGATCGAGCTGATGTGGTGTGAGTGATCGTGGGCGTGGTGGAATTTATAGCTGGCACAGACGTACGCTAGCTTAAAAACATGGAGAAAAATATTGCTACATTTCTCTGTGTAAGACGATCGATATTGCAACCAAATTTTGGATTACTAGTGAGCCTATTCGCAGCATGCATACATGTATGCCGGCCGTGCCTAACTTGGACTTGGACTGGTCTAATCGGGACGCCTTTGATACACCGAAGAGACATGCAAGCTTGGACCGGCGCAGCCCCCCTTGCCCCTAAATCCAAAAGACAAAATGCTCACTGTCTTCTACACCCGATGCTCGCCGGCACGAAACAAGTGGCAGTATGAATATGATGCCTGGATCAAACCCAGAGAACCCCATGCTCTTGCTTCCTGCTACTTTCCACCATTTTGTCAACACGTGTGGAAAAGACCAGGGAAGACGCCGGTCAATTAAGCACCTAACGCTGCTTGAGGCAGGGTGCTTCATTTTCATGATAGACACATTCTTGTCTTGTATAGAAAACGTCGCTTTTGCAACCGCCTGACCCGTGCTTCCCCAGTTGCCCGGTGTGTCGTCTCATTCATGAAGTTTGTCACCCATAGAAAAACGTCACTTGCGATCGTGTGTCCCGTGCGCCAAGTTGCCCAGTTGTAATATTGCATATTGTCTCATTCCCTGCTGCATGCACTACTTGTATATGCTCTTTGTATAATAGTTCATAGTTGGACGGTTGCAGAGGGCCGAGAGCCTTGCTTCGAGTTCGCCTGGCCGAGCCGGCTCGTGCTTGGTGCTCTAGCGGCTATTTGAGAACTTACCACCGGGCAACCCCACCATGTTGTTGTGGAGATGTTTGCAATGTGAAGATGTCCACCGACCGGAAGAAGTCATGGACGGAAGGGAGAAGATTTTTTGTGTGTTTCAACTATGCACATGATCCTGCACTTTCAACTAATGCATGTGGCTTACCACCGGTTTGTTAGACAAGTAAACTAGTATTCTCAAATTTGTTTCAACTTCAACTCATATTACTGACAAAAACTTGTTGTCTATGCAGTCCCCGTCTCCTCTTTGCAAGTACTTCCCATGGATAGATCATGAAGTGCCAGAAGATATCCAAAAGAACAAATATAAAGATTGTCTCAGGAGGCAGCGGCGGTTGGAAGAAACATTGCAAAGAGCCAAGGATGAACATCATCGTCAAAAGGAGAAGATGGAGGGGAAGAAGCGTGAGGAAGAGAGGGCACACAACGAGAAGGTTGCTTGTGAAGAGGACAGGGCAAGAAAGCTTGCAAGGGCTCGCGAAGCGCAGGAGGAGCATGAGGCACGTTAGAAGAAGGGGAAATGGCCTCGTGTGACCCAGTAGGGACTTCACTTCCGCGGCTATTTGAGAATTATATCTTCAAATTGCGAACTTTGCCATGGAACGAAAGTGTGCTATGTGTCATGAACTATGTCGTATACCTAATTAATTTGTCATTTGTAATGAACTACGAGTTGAATGTGTCATGAATATTTGACCATCCATTTGTGAGTTATCTGCACCCTGGACTTATTTTTCATCCTACATGAATATTATGTTTTTTAAGCTTACTTCAAATGACATACAACAAAACATAACTTAAATCAAATGACATAGAACAAACGCACAACATAGCATACTTAAAATGACATACGACACGAAGTTCTCACGGAGTTCAAATGACAAAGATTACATAACACATACGGAGTTCAACTAAAGTACATATAGAAAATGATAAGGGGTTGTGTCCATTATAGTTCAAACGACACTACAACATCACCTCGTTCAACCCCTTTTATTTTTTATGCGGTCATAATTTCCACGACGCTTTGGAGGAGCATGCAACGCAATATCTTTGTCGTACGGTCCCGGATTGCAGGAAACAACATCCGTTCTTTGATGGACCCAAGCCCTTCGGGAAGCCTGCCTCCGCATTGATGCTAATGGTTGCTTAAATACCCAGTCAATGACCTGGCCAAGGTTATTCGAGTCAAACTGACGCAATTCTTCCCTTGTTAAGCACAATGCAATTTTTCTTGCAAGATCACATCTACAGAGTATTTCATTCGCTTTGAGGTTACGCATCTCTTTCTCTTTAGCTTCACACACATTTTCAGTGCAGTTGGACAATAGTACTTTGAATAGTCCCTCGAAGCGGCATTCAACGCATCAACGACGTCAACCCACGGCTTCATCGCTTCCTCAATGACTATGCATTCACGGTTCACCGGCGACTCAGCAGAAGACTCAAAGAAGACAATTGGTGCCGACCTACAATTCGAGGAGTAACTTTAACGGTCAGCATAACCTTAACCAATACGATAACCCTAACCTTAACCCTTTCCCTATCAAACCCACTTACCCTTGCACTAGATCTTGCTACCTCCAACAAACGGTATGCGCATAATATACATGATTCCAACCAACCAAAATGAGGTAGAGTGTGAGAGGTACCTTGAGTGATGAAAGTTCTCCGGATCCACCGGATAAATCTCAAGGGTTGGGCTCATGCCGGTCCCAATCTTTAGCGCACTCCTGATGCCTTGATGGATAGGGCTGCTGATGGCTCGTCCACTTGCAAATCATGATACCCACACAGCCAAAAATTGCGGCGGCCGATCAACTTTGACTCCTTTGGATGAGAATTGCCACTTGCGCACCCACTCCTACTCCATCGTGGAAAAAGAAATTCCAATGACAAACCATGCATCGCCGTCGCCGTCGTGCCAAAGGGAAACGAGCC